GCTGCAGCGGGGAGGTCCCGGGGGGATCCGCACCTCGGCCCCGCGGTGCCGGTGCTGCGGGCGCCGCCGAGCTCGGCCCCCCCGCCGGGGGTGCGGGTCCGGCGCGGGGAGAAGCCCCGGGGGGCGGCGGTAAAGGCGAGAGCTGCCCGCGGGTGGCCCCGGCAGCGCTGACACCGCTCCGCGCCCGGCCTTTTTGGTAAGAAAGGGAAGGAAAGCTCGGGGGTTACTTCTGGGCAAACCCGAGCCGAGTCCAAATGACTCCCTTTACTTCATTTCTGCTCCTTCCCTAATTGGCGGCCCTCCCCGCTCCCCCCCGCGCTAATCTCCCCTTGGTTATCTGTCTGCTATCTGTTGGCAGCAGGACAGAGCTGGAGCAGAGGCTAATGAGCGATAGATTGCCTGAAAGCTGTTCTCAAACCCGTTTATGCCTCCACGGGGCAACAACCGATCTCTACCGTGTTTACTTGTACGAAGGCAACGTGTTCGTAAAGCCAAGCAGGGCCAGTGACGGGGGGAAAATCTGCTGCTGCACCCCAAAACGGGGCTCTCCGGGCAGCAGCCCCCAATGGCTTGGCCTTGCTGCCTGGAGCAGGGCTATTCTGGGGGCTCGGGGGGACCAGCGGTGGTTGTGGGGGGCACGGGGCTCCGAGCTGCAGCAGAAACTCCCTCATCCCCTGCCGCCCGTGGCTCCTGTCCAGCAAACGGGACCTGCAGGAGGAGGAGTGGGACACATAAGCGGGGGACAGCGGCCCCTGGAACTGGCCTGTCAGGAAGGGAAAGACACCGTTATGACAGCCCGGTAACTGTTTTCCCCTCGTTGCGTTTTACAGCAAAGGGTAAATTGGCCACTAACAAAAACCCCATCACTCGAGGAGCTTCCTACGAGCACCCTCCGCCTGTCCCGAGATCACCTTACACCTGTGCTCTGCTCCTCGGGGCCCAGGGGGAGGGAAACGGGAGATCCCTGCTCTGGAGAGCATCCACCAGCAGCCCGTCAGCCGGAGAGGTTTTCTCCCAGCCTTTAGGACAGCTTTTCCTGGGGAAGGGAGGATCCGACCTCTGCCCGGCCAGCAGAGCGCAGAGGGAACACGGCAAGCTGCTAAAGTACAGCTCAGGAGGGCATTAGCCTTTGTACTCGAGTGTCTCCTGCTCATAAACTCGCTGTGATGTCAATAACAGAGGGCATGGCTGGGCAGGGTCTTCCTCAGCACCGTGCCCTGAGCCCTCCTGTCCCCCTTCCTCCACCACCTCCCATCCCCTGGATGCCAGCAAGGTCAGGATTCTCCCGTCATCCCTCCCCAAGGGCCTTTCTCTCCAGTTACCTCTCTTGCTTTAACTCTTCCCATTGCACCTCTGGAGCTCTCAGCAGGAGCACAACTCACTTCAGGCTTTCTCAAAAGCCCACTTCTTCAATGGTCTTTCCATCTGGGGTCTGACCAGGTAAACTGAGTCCAAATCACCCAGGAAATTCAGGAGATACTTGGATATCTCAAACTCTATGACTTCAGGAGTCCTTAAAGTACTTCTTTTCTGTAGTCAGTTTCATAAACTCGTCTCAAGCCTGTATCCCTAGGTATCAGCAGCCGAGACCAGTGGCTGTAACTGGAAACTATTGGGAACATTCCTGTTTCTGAAGTGTAGAGTGAAAAGGAAGTAGGTGGCTGTGATTCAACGACTGTGACCGGACTGTAATCCAAACTCTGTGAAGCTGGTGATGCACGGAAACCTCTGGATCTGGATCCTTTCTGCAAGGTGTGATCCCAAAGGGTGAGCTCTAGGCACCTATGTGCTGCCGGGCCGTCTGCGGGCTCTGAACCCCCAGCAATGGCTCTCCCTTCCCAGTGCAGCATCCCCAGGGCTGGCTCTGCAGCACCAGACAGTGCTCCCATCAACAGGTTCCCCCAGAGGGAAAATATCTGCACGGACGTGGAAGGAGAGGAGCTCTGATGACAGAGCAGAAAATCAGCACTCTCTGCCTCTCACCCATCAGCCTCGGCACATCGCAAAGCTGCAGCATCTCAGCCGGGACGGAGATCACTCCTTCATTTCCTCATGACTCTTCCACGCATCATTCCTCTCCAGAATGGTGTTTAGAGAAACAGATTGCCCCGGAGAGACGGAATTCATTTGAGCATGCTACCATCAAAAATCTCTAGGTGCAGCCCCCATGATTTATAACAGCCTTCCTTATATAACAAAGGCCCGTTAATTATTTAAAATTTGCAGAGAGAAATCAGATTAAATATATATGATGGATGGCAATCCTCAATTAAAGATTAAGCTTCACGCAGCTGGGTGGGACGGGACGCAGTCGGGAGCGGTGAGGCTGAGGAGCTGTGGTGGGCATATGCTGCGTGGTGTGACGGGAGGCATTCCCAGTCCGGAGCAGGCGTCTGGCCTCGGAGAGTGACGGGGAATTGATGATTCTTTTGTCCCTTCAGCACTGTCCCCAACCAAAAGTGCCACGCGGTGCCAAGGAGGCGGTGAGGGGCTTCCTCCCCTGCCCAGCTGGTGATTAGCGTGCGGTGATTACTCCTAATTCCTCCACCCTCTCCGCGTGCCCGCAGACGCTTCTCCCATTCATATAAACACATAATCCTGTTCTGAATCTCTCTGACCGCTTCCTCGGCAGTGCCCTCCAGCAGCCGGGTACCCCGGGCGGGCGACACAGACTCATACCAATAATTCAGCCCTTTAACATTCTTGTGCTCATGCTAAATAGCCCAATAATGCCATTAAGCATAGAAAAAAGGAAAACACTTCATCCGCTTTCCTGCACAGACCCACAGTCCAAGGGCTTTTCATTCTCTCATATGGCAAATAAAAGTCATAAAAATACCTGAGCACTTGCCCATTTTTAGCCTCCAATCAGTTCTCTTTGGAGGAGATTTGCTCAGGAAATTGTTATTGTTAATGTGTCCCTTTTCCCATTGGTATTCCAGTGTAAATGCTCAAACATCCTCCAAGTACAACAGGGATTTTTTTTCTGCTTCTCAATGCCAAATGATAGACCATATTTCACGAAAAAAAAAAAAGTCTTTTAGTGAGAAGGATGAGAACCACCAGCTTCTGGACAAGTTTCAATTAGCAGGGTGCTTCCTTGCAATCCAGCATCCACTGTTGGGTGACAGACGGGGTCTGCTGAACAGACAGAGAAAATAAATAGCATTTTATGTCTTTATTAGGTACCAATGTAAACCACGGGAAAATCAAGGTAACAATTAGCTGGTAAACAGGGAAACTTCCCACTTTGGGTTCAATATATTCTTGAAATCCTACTGATGGAACTCAGGCCATCCCAACGTACACTAGAGCTCCTCCAAACCTCAAGCAGGTATTTTAAATCTCTTCTTCAGAATGTGTGTGAAAGATTAAGAGGGGAGAGAGCAGAAATGCTCATTTGCCAAGAACACACTTGCTCCCTGCTCCCTCTTTCAATTACATTTTCTGTGTGCTCTGAACATAAGTTTTGTAATATACTTCTCTGCATTGCACCATCAGCATTCATTTAGATATATATATATATATATATATGTTTCATCTTTAGCTCAGACTGAAATACAACACTCTAGCTTTTGTAATAATATTGGTCTTATCCCTTTCCCAGGTCATTTTTCCCCCCAAAGAATCAATGATGTTTGATGTCAGGGTCTATGAGCTATGAACTCCTCTGCTCACAGCCCCATTGTGCGTGAAGCAAATTATTTCCAATTACAATCATAACATTTAAAATAATTACAATTAAAATAAACTTTAGCTTTTAGGTTCTTTATTAATGAGTAAACCTTTATGGGAGGTTCATGACATGTTCTGTGATTTTCAAATAGCTGTATCAGATTTAATGAGTTAAGCAGATTTTACTTTCTCAATCCCTTTAGAATCACAGAATCATTTGGGTTGGAAAAGACCTTTCAGATCATCGAGTCCAACCCTTAACCCAGCGCTGCCAAGTCCAACTCTAACCCATGTCCCTCAGCACCACATCTGCCCGGCTTTTAAATCCCTCCAGGGATGGTGACTCCACCACTGCCCTGGGCAGCCTCTTCCAAGGCTTGATAAATCTTTCTGTGAAGAATTTTTTCCTAATAAAAAATTCAGCTCTGTGTTTTATTGCTGTTTGTTTCTACAGTTCTACTGTTGTGGACCTGGGGATGAAATCCATCTGACCTAGTCGCTCTGGGGCCCTTTCATCCCCAACAGAGAGGAACAGGAGCTTTTGAAATGCAATTCCTCTCATCATCCTGAAGCAGACATCTGAAAAATGTCAAATGAGTGTTACCATGGAAGTGCCTCTTTCTCTCTGTCGAGGGTAAGAGGCGCCGGGCAGTGAGCTCCAGTAACAGCACCCACCTCACGGGTGCCCCACTGCAGGTGGGGACAGCCCCTCTGGCACAGGTAGCCTGGGTTTAAGAAGGCGTTTAAGAAGGCGTTTTCCTTTAACATGCTGAAGTTTGAGTACAGAGTATTGAGTATTTGAACTCAACTTCCAACAAGCAAAGCTGCAACCCATCTAGTGCCCGTGGGGCAGGGAAGAGCAGAGTGTGAGCCCCTCCACGGCTGCCCACCCACGGGACAATGGTCATTCCTGGTGGTGCAGAGGGTGCCACATCAGCAGGCACCAAGGAAACTGGCAGAGAACCCTGCCCTCAGAACTGAACGGCTGCCAAAACTGCTTGGCCACCGTTCAGCCAAACGCTTACGTGCTTTGCTAAAACAGAATGGATTTAAGCGTGTGCTTACGATGAAGCACTCGCTGTATTTCTTTGCTACGGCAGGGCCCCTAAGATTAATATTTTTTTTACATTAACTTGGAAACGCTTCACAAACCGTTCTGTGTCAATTGCATGTTAAAAGCAGTTAAAACAACACACCTCCCATTAGTAACCCGGTCAGGTTCACTAAGGAACAACGGAAAAAGAACTAAAGGAGCGCTCCAAGCTCTGCCAGTCGTCTGGCACTGCCAGCCAGCATACCTAGAAATGTGTGTCAGCACCCCAGCACACCCCAATGTCGACACCGGTGTCATATGTAAATAATCCCTTAAATTTCCACATTTCAGGAGGCTGCGTTGCTGTAAGGGCTCGTGCTGAAGCAGAAGTGCCCCAAGTGTGAAGGCAGAGCTCGTTTCCTCTGGCTTGAGCTTCCCCAGTGCGTGTGACGCTGCGTTGGCACGTTGGGGACACTGCAGCCTGCCCCTTAGAAGAGAGCCATCATCTCCCTGCGTTTCCTGGCCACCTGGGTCAGCTCTGCACAGCAGCTCCTCTCTGCAGGGAGCCATGGCCACCACCCCACCTCTGCGGGACCACCTTCCCCCACCTCAGCCAGCCTTCGCTTCCAGCCTTTCCGTAAGAACACACGGAAGGAAAGCCAAGCATCACGTCCTCTTTGGGGCCCTCAACAACCTTGTCTGGACAGATTTTTAGTGACTGTTTCATCATTTTCCTAGAAATACCACGCACACTCCATGCAAAAATGTTAACCACACGTTGCTGTGTATTTAACAAGAAAACTTCAGTAATTACAAATAAAACAAAGCCTAGTGAATAGGCTGAAACTGCAAAACCTTTGCTTTTTCCACTACTTACAGTCATTATTCCCTGCAAAAGCTCAGCTATTTCCATTATTTGCAGCCACTGTTTGTTTTCCTGCTGGACTTAACTGTACCAGCTGCTACTCAAACACTGGGAGACGCTACTTAGAAGGTCACTGTAACATGCCAATATATAGACTTTACACTGCAAATCCCTAGTACTTTTAATCATCCACTGACAGCAGACACAAAGGAAATCTAAATAAACCATGATCTTCACAAATACAGATGGTTTGGGTTTTATAAAATTGGCTTGCACAGATTAATAGAGCCACAACCTAAGCAGAAAATGCTCTTTAGGAAAGCAGAGGGATGCTCAGGGCTTACCAAACCGCAGCACGGGAGCCACAGCGCCAGGCTCTGCCCTTTCCTGGGAGCTGGGAACACACAGCGACAGCTTCCAGCAGCTGGGTGGGATCAGCACTGACAGCACAGGAGTCCCAGCAAGAGTCAGCAGGTACCTGTGTGCAGACACGGTGTCCCGGGCTGCAGCCCCCCGAGCTCCACTGACTGCCATGGGCCTGGCGGGGAGAGGGATCCGACGGCTTCTCCTGCAGGAGATAGGATCATGGAATCACAGAACGGTCCAGGTTGGAAGGCACCTTTCAGATCACCGAGGCCAACCATGAACCTGACACTGCCAAACCCACCACTAACCCATGTCCCTCAGCACCATGTCTGCCTGGCTTTTAAATACCTGCAGGGGTGGCGACTCCACCACTGCCCTGGGCAGCCTCTTCCAAGGCTTCATAACCCTTTCCATGAAGAAATTTTTCCCAATATCCATCCTAAACCTCCCCTGGTGCAACTTGAGGTCATTTCCTCTTGTTCCATCGCCTGTTCCTTGGGAGAAGAGACCGACTCCCCCTGGGTACACCCTCCTTTCAGGGAGTTGGAGAGAGCGAGAAGGTCTCTTCTCAGCCTCCTTTTCTCCAGGCTGAACACTCCCAGCTCCCTCAGTCACTCCTCAGAAATTCTCCAGATCCCTCTCCTTGTGCTCCAGACCCCTCTCCAGCTCCGTTGCCCTTCTCTGGACACGCTCCAGCCCCTCAATATCTTTCCTGGTGTGAGGGGCCCAAAACTGGACACAGCTCTCAAGATGGGCCCTCCCCAGTGCCCTGTCCAGGGTGACCATCACTGGCCCACCCCTGCTGGCCACACTGTTCCTGACACAGGCCAGGACAAAAAATTAGTTGAAGTTGCTCTGCACCGGGCAGCCCCGTGCAGTGCCCAGGGTACACCCAGGGGAAAGGCACCCCGTTAATTACATGAGCAATGGGGCTATTTTTAAATGGGCATTGTTAGGCTGGAGGTATTGAGCGCCGGCCGCGGGACTGATTGATGACCCAGCCTCGTTAGAGGCAGAACACAGCCAGGCTGCCCTGAAAATAGGGCACACGGTGTGCCCACCCTCCCTCCCTCGGCTCGGATGGCTTTACATGCTGTGGCCCACAACAGTGGCTAACATTCACCCAGCCAAGGCCACCTCTCGGGGTACTCACTAAATGTTGCTTTTTGTCACTCCCGTGTCTTTTAAGTGATTATTGCACTTTAACGATTTCAAAGGGGATTGAAAAAAATGTTCTATTCGCAGCGTATCGCTGGTTCCACTGAGCTTAACAAATCGTAAAAGTAGTAATGGAAAGTTACAGATTTTATCATCCTACTGTCTTTTCAGTCCCTGGTTTAAAATAGAATTTCATTATTCTATTTCCACAGAGGAGAAAATAAATCTACATCAACTGAGCCGAAAGAAAGCTGTTTACAGACACACTTCAACATAGTTCAATATTTAATGTTGTTACTGAACAATCTTTTGCTAATAAAAAAAAGGCTTTTCTCACTGTAAAGCTTTCCTTTTTCTGGAAAGATTTCATAAGAAATTTTAATATTTTATCAGGTTTAGATTTGAATGACAACATTGCGTCTGTATTTTCAGTACATATCTTTCCTAAAGTGTTATTAAAATGTCTAGGGGCTGAACACAGAAAACTGGCTCTGAACGTAAAAGATTAACTATTTAAAAAAGATATCTATTTAAAAACATGCTAGTATTTTGTAGTGTATTATTGAAAATGTCATAGAAAATTCATTGAAGCTATAAACCAAGTTGAAACCAACTCCTACAATACATAAGTAGCTTTTAATATTTTATTACTCAGTTATTTTCTCAATTCTGTTGTTTTCTGATTTCATTACTGTATGAGGATGAAAGAGTAATCCCCTGGCCTACATCAAAAGACCCTTTTTCAAAGTCCTGTGGTACAGCGTGGTGAAAACACCCAGGGAAGCACCTCATAGGAGAGAAACCTTCTGGTTGTTGGGAGTGGACCGAGTGTCCTCTGAGGAGGGTAACACTGTGTGTCAACCAGCTAAAAACCCCGCGTTAGAATTTCCTTCAGCCGTCTGTCATCAGCAGAGAGCATGAAAGCAAGAAATAGCTTTAGATGGCATAAACTGTTTAGGCGATATAAACCAGTAAAAGTGGCTTCAGAGTGGCCACTTGTTAAGTCAATCCCTGTCATTAGTGTTATCTGCTAAACACAGAGGTGGATTCACCTCCCTTCTGTGCCAGCCTTCAGCCTCCCTACGTCAGTGGAATTTTTCTAACTGTCTCCCGTGGCAGGAAGCCTGACCCAGCTTCTGGCCAGGTTAATTGATATTTGGTTTCCAGTAACAATATAATATTTGAGGCATGAGCAAGATGCTCGCCCCTCCTTCAGCAGGGATGGACCGTGGGGTAACTTCCCTGTGGTTTTGTGCTTTTTTGGATGTCTGTCAAACAGGCAGAGAGTGCTGATACATTATACATAGAGACCTGCTTTCAGAACTTCCTACCTCACCTCAGCGCTAATGCAAAATAATCAAAACAACTGCCAAAGCAAGACAAATCATTGCCCTTCTCCACCCAAGATGCAGCACGACGTTGATGAGCGCCACCGTCCCAAAGGAGCCGCAGCAGAAGCACGTAGCTGGGGACAGTGCAGGGGGAGAAAAGAAGGACCCACGTCTCAAGCAGCAGCAAGCCATTAGATCACCTCTAATATCTAATTAGATCACCACGTTAGACCAACAAACAGCCGCAACCGTGCTGGGAAATCGGGCACAGACCTGGTGTGGTCTGACACACGGCAGCGTCCCGCCGGGGCTGGGGCTCCCTCCTGACAGGAGAACTGCCATGTACCAGGAGCTTCTTCAGGGCTGACAAGAAGATGGATTAACCACAAACCTAAGGAAAACAAAGCAGAGAACATTCAGATTTACTGGAAAAAACTGTTTTCCCGAGAAACTACCAGGAGAAAATCACTATAAACATTGACAATTACATTTGTCAGGCATTTCTTTACGAAATTGTTCTGCTTCTGAGCTAATATTTATGCTCCTGTGGCATATTGACAATGCTATGACAATCACAGTTTTTAAATAAATACTAAACAAAATCTACCACAAATCACCTAAGATCAAACATTGTATCTTTCTTCCGTTTGTTTTTAGTTCATAAATAAAGCACTCATTTTTCAAGCTGTTTCTTCTCTTGTTGATTAACTTTCTTCAATGGCCAAAGAAACTTTGTAAGTTTCACGTCAATTTACTTTGCTCATAGGGAATGTAGGGGTATTCAGGAGAAGTGAGTTGATCTGCTTCATTTTCTGTGTTTCTACCAGTAATTCATAGTTTACAGAAAACGAAAAAAAAAAACACCCACATTTTTGGGATATTTTAAAAAGAATCCTAATAGAATTGTGTGACCTGATCTGTGAGGTATAGTGTCACAAAGGCTTTGAAAAGTGACTGCTAATTATTCTTAAAGACTTCTGACATAGCCAGGGGCCTGTTTTTTGGACAATCCGGGAAACCCTTACGGTTTACTGTCTCTCCTGGCACGTCAGCTTTCCAGTCAGCAGAGTAACTTAATAGTTTGGGTGAAGGGAGGACACCCGTCCCCAGAGAGCAGCGTCCTGCTGGCAGAAGGCCCCAAGCTGATGCGAGACACAGAACTGCCATCGCTGCGCAGAGGCTTTTCTTCTCTCTTGGCACTTGAGCTGAGAATGTCTTACCTTGCTTAGTTTATGGGAAATGCAAATCTCATGAGATTTGTTATGCAAACTGATTCTCTCTCTTGGATTTCATGTTCTGTCTGGGTTTAATAAACCTTGGTTTTGTTCCGATGACTGTGGTGCTGATAATCTCAGGCAGACATCCCTGGGGAGAAAAAAGAAAAAAGGGGGGAAAAAAATAAAAAGAAATCTGAAACCTTTATGGAAAAGTGATGAAAAATAAAGTTTCTCAAATGTACACGTCCTGTCAGGCTCACTCGGCAACGCGTGAGTGTGATCTCCACGTGACACCCCCCAGCACAGGTAGGTGGGAGGTGAGGGAGAGCATCCAACAGACCGAGAGGTGAGATCTGAGGAGAGACTTCACACAGAACCTTTTAACAGATTCCCTGAGAAATACAGTGCCTTCCAGTGAGTCATACCCGACACCGACTGTAGCGCTGCCTGACTCAGGGCCGCAGCCTCTCATCTCTGTGGCACCCACGAGCAACGCCGTCTCTCCTGTCACACCACCCAGGGCAGGTGACACACCACGTGCCACCCCTCGGGGCCACTGTCCCTTTAGGATCCTCGCCCCAGCCCCATGGCCCTCACCGTGAGCTCTCCTCACCAGTGCTCCAGGTGCTGGTCAGCCCTCCCAAGGAACAAACCCCTCGAACACGTAAGAGTGCTGTAATTAACGCTCAGGCTCGTCTAGTTGGAGACTTGTCTCAGCCTGTGGCAGCAGCAAACAAGGCAAGGAGGCAGTGACACTTCTGCTGTGAGACCTCCCAGCTCCCAGCAGCTGGCAGCTCAAAGGCTTCCTGAGCCACAGTCCAGGCCTTTGGATTTTGTAAGCTTTGCTATGTTTTTCTTCTCTCTCAAAATCCTTTTTTGAACCTATGTAAATTTTTGGCATTACCCTGGAATAACAAATTCCAACATATTGTATGAAAAATTACTTCCTTCTGTTTGCTTCTCTACAATTTTAACTATTAAATTTTATTTCTCCTGTTTCTTATATTATAGTTAATAGGGAACAATCATCAGCTGTTCAGCTTCTCCTGAGATTGATGCTTTTTCTGGCTCATAACCCCCTCTCTCAGCTCCCTTCTGGGCTGTAGACCTATAACACACCTCGTCCCTACAAGTGTACAAGCTTTTCTTAACCTTTCTTCATCCCCGTGGCCCTCTCACACCTTCTCAGTCTGTTACCTCTGTTCTGGGCTTTAGTTTCCAGGATTTTGGAAGCGGAAGAGTGAGGTGAGGGCACTGAAAGGATTTATACGGTACCATTTTAGTGTGCTCTGTTCAGCTTGCTGTTTTCTTCCTAGTAATTCTGAAGCTGCCTGCTCGGGAGGGCTGCCTTGGGGTGGTTTGACAGCTCCAGGGTGTTAGTGGATGTCTCCATAACCTACCCACAGCAAGGTTAGGAACCTGGGTAAGTAGGGCAGAGCACAGCACTGAGCTTTTGTACTGGGGCTGGCTCTGTGTTACTCTGCATTTATCCATATTAAATGTCATCTTGCTGTGCTACTGCCCACTCATTCAGTAGCATGAAATTATTGTGCAACTCTTCCCAGCTGGCTTTTTTTTTTTAATTATCTTTAATAATTTAATAATCGCCAGTAAAACTTCCCCTTCATGGTCTTGAACAAACCATTTACAAGTGTACCTAGTGTCGGGTTGCAGCACAGATCCCCTCGAAACTCTGCTTGTCATCTTTCTGCATGGCAAAAACTGATCATCTTTTGCCTTTTATTCCATAATTGATTATTGGCCCACGGAAGGAGCCTCCTTTTTCACCTGGCAGTATCTGGAAAGTTCTCCTAAACCCCGGCTCCGTCAGGTAGATCGCTGCTCTCCACACGCTCGGTAACTTTTTCAGAGTGACACAGCAGACACAGGGAGGCAAATTCCCCTCCAAACGGTGTTCACTCTTTCCTGCCATTCCACATTTGTCCAGGTGTCTACTGATGTCACCACTTCTGCCAACTTGACTCCAAAGCTGGACCTGATGGAGGGTGGTTCCCAGGTGGAGCCCTTTCTAGCCTGGTGAGACCGCTGTCACCCGCCGCTGCTCTCCACAAAGAGCCATTCCGTTTGTTGCCACTCTAAGTGAATCCTTGCTTTAGTCAACAGTCACCCTGCCCGCACGCAGTCTGCCCTTCTGAACTCTTCTTTTAATTACCTTTTCTACCAGCTTTCGTAGTTCTGTGTAGTTCTTCGATTGGGAAGGTCTCTCTCTCTCATCTATAAAGGTATTCAGTCCCAGCATGATGGGTCACTCTGTGACCTTTGGAGTGACCTTTAAAAGAATCCATTCCAGCATTTTTGGTTCTAAGCAGTGCTGGCTTGGGTCTTGATTTACATCAAAATAAGAAGAGGCTCCTCTTCTCTCATCTGTCCAACAGCCGATGGAAGGATTCATGTTTTAAATTCTGAAACAGTTATTTCTCTGTAAAGTGTCACATATGGACAGTGTCATAAATTGTGTGCTCAATTATCATCCTGAATGTGTGATAAGACTGAAAAAAAGACCAGAAGATGTTGTTTGATGCTCTTGCCCTTCTAGTAGTCAGCCTGATGCTCATTTATCTCCCTTTTTGAATTTCCACATGAAAGGCTTTTCTACTCCTAGACCAGACAGCTCGTTTCTACATTTTTAGCTGCAGAAGATCCATAGCCTGATTTAGAAAACAGGTGAAAGAAGCAGCTCAGCAGACAGGCCCCCAACTCTTCCAGTGTCTGCTGCAGGCAGGAAGATGCATCTATCCCCATGTAAGGAAGGACCTGCGGCAGAGGACACCCTCACGACTGTCCATGTCCATCACTTCTGCCCAGCTACACTGGCTGGTGCACCTTCCAAAGAGAACAGGTGGAAATTCTGTCAACGACTGTCACGCACCCACTAACAGGCCAGCTCCACCTTCCGTAGGAACAGCAGGGCTTTTTCCTTATCAATTCCCTTTGATTTTTCATGGGCGTGCAGCACAGGGGCAGGCAACCCATTCATTATGATCAACCACTGAGAAATGGCGACCCTGCTCTTGCCAATTTTAATAGCCAAGTCACACACGACAGAAAACATTATGTTCAGCATGTATCTAGATGAGGTCCTGGGGGCAAGCATACAGTTAAAGACTGAAAATACATCATGCTCAAGCCAGTACTTGTTTAAAAACTCTGCTGGTCTCCTGCATTTTATGGCAAATGCATAACTTGCATATAGGGAGATAGTTATTCAGCTGCTGTGATAAATCCTGCCCCAAACTCATAATGTGCCATTGCCATGCCTTAGCAGGCTGTGCCCCAAGGCTATGATTTTAAGCAGCCATGTTCTGTTGCCCCTTGTTTTACTATTAATAGATTTTGTAGGCCACCTGCCTTTCTAATCCCCCTATCCTCCTTTTTTTCTTTTTTTTTTTTTTTTTTTTTTTTTTTTTTTTAGCTTGGCTGGTGTCTGCTGCTGCTTTGTGGATGAACAGGACTTAAACTGGGAGATGCTGGACCTGTTTTTTTTTTTTTTTTTTTTTTTTTTCCTTTTTGCTCTAGCACAAGCTCTTTAACCCCCTCCCAGCCCGTTATAGGTTGGCTACTTGGGAATAAGAGCGTTGACAAGCAGGATCCCATGTCAGCAGGCCTGCAGCTTTCTGTAACAGGGACTTTTGGCTGAAGATTTGGTACTCACAGCATTAGGAAGGCTGTCCTACTAAATCTGTCTTTTCTTAGCACATATGTCCTATTAAAGCTGGTGTACCACCTTGAGAACTGGCGCAATGCCGCGCTGACACATGGGTATGGTGGTACACTCTGTATAAGCCTGAAATGTGCTTGCTGAGGGTAGGATTCCAAGCCTGGGACACAGCAATGATATTTTTGGCTGCCATTCTCGCAGGGAGAATCCAGAGCCAATGTTTTCTATGCTCACTAACCCCCAGCACACTGTTTTTAGGCATCTCATGTCTGATTACCAGCGATAGCAAGACTTGGGCAATTCCAGCTTTCCTCAATGTCCCTGAGCAGTGTTTCTGCCAACGCAGAAAAGCTGAGCAATAGTTCCCCCCCTCCCCATGCTGGGGCTGGTCTGCAACACCTGGGACACCACACACCAGTGATCTGCAGTGAAAGCTGCCTTTCACTGTTGGGAATTCAACAATAAACAACATTTATACAGCCAAAAGCAACCAAGCTCTGAGGAAGGAAGGAAGAGAGAGGTCAGCTCCAGTTGTGAAGCCCTGCCCATGGGAAGAGGGACGCGGGGATTTAGGTCTGACACAAGTTTCCAGGTCATTGTCTGTAGTGCTCATTTTCTGCAGAATTATCCATGAGGAAATTTGCACTGTTTGAACTTGACCAGTGGTAGGAGGTTGCATTGCTGGGAAGCTCTGGGAGGGAGCACAACCCATCCAAATGACCTCTTCTCTGTCACTACTGTCCCAAAGAGCAACCAGCAAAACCACCCCACCCGTCCCATCCCATCGGAATTCCAACCCAGGCATGCATATCACTTGCTTTAGGGTGGAGATCTCGCCCTGTACTTTGGGTTTCCAAATCAGTGTCTGTCTTGCAGATGGCAATCACTTCTCCTACTGTCTCCGGAGGGTTCTCCCATTCTAAGTGCGAGGTGGCAGCACAGTAGCTTTGGGGAGGTTTATCCAAGTTGTGACAAACCCTTCTCCTGCTCCTGGGAGGTTTTAGAAGCAGAAGCATGGCTTTTGCTACGGTAAAAAAAATATGCAAAATTTTGACATATGCAAAAGAGTGACATCATGGGCCAAATCAGCAACTGGTACAAACCACCACTGCTCTGCTGACTTCAGTGGAACTGTCACCCTTCTCCCCAGTCGTGTGTTTGTCGTAGGCCCAGTGTACGGCAGGAACACCCCTCTCACACAGGCACCTGTACTGCTCAGACAGCCTGAGGGGCCTGGGTGTCCATCACAGCCCATCTCCCAGCCCCAGGTCAGGGCAGGAGCCAAGCCCACACTGTTGCTCGTGCTCAGGACCTGCTCTAGGACAGACACCCGAGCCTGCGGGATGGAAAATCACTGCAGCACACGGCGGCCTTGTCCCTTGGTCTGCCTGGTGGTAGCAGCAAAAAACCCGAGGGCGTTTGCTGTGCAATCTACTTACCAAAGCCCAGGAGCCAAACAACATGTTAGCCTAGAGAAAAAGCTCTCTCTTCCACGCCTTATGTATCTGCTTTGTCTTCCTTGCCTCTTTCATTTTGTTAAAATAAAATAGCATCAAGGGCAAACCACAAAGGAGAGGGACGTGTAAAAGTTCTACTTTATAAGTACACCAAAATGAAAGCTAAATGCAATCACTCATGTACTGTTATCTCAGATCCTATGGACAGAACTCAGAGATTCATATACATTTTAGTATCAGATATTTTTTTTCTTATCAAAAGCAATTCAACTGGCTTTTACAACCTATTTGCAACCACTGAAATTCTTGATTGTAAGAGCTTTTGTATAGCAGGACTGCCCCTTCCGACCAGGCAGCTAGGTTAATTGCTAGCAGCAAACGAGGAGGTGCTGTGAGGGACCCTTGCAGACAGACACCCCAAGAGTAAGGGTGCTGAGGACAGAGTGGCCTGTAGCAGCACGCCAGCTCGTTTAGGCAGCGCGGCGGTTGGTAATTACAGAGCACGCGCGCTCAGCACCCCACGTGCTGATAAAGCCAGCTCCATCCATGCTGCCAAGAAAGTGACACGATGTGCAGGGCGGTGATGGAGCCAGGGGAGCTGCACTGAAACTGCCGCCAACGCACCTGGAGGGAAGCCCTGGTCAAGAGCCGGGAGGCAAAGAGGGACCTGCTGAAGGATTGGTATCTCCCCACCGCCCCGAGGGCAATGACATCGGCCTTTGCAAGCACTGGTGACTCTGCTGCTCACTCATGTGAGACTGGGTGGTGTTCTCATTCCGAGCTCCACTATTGCCATGAAAAGCCCAGGTTAGGTCCATGTAAATATTCAGGGAGTCACGTGTGCCTTGATTTATCTGCTGGGATTCTCTGCAAAGTCTTGTGTGCCCTTATCTGATTTCTCATCTTATGCTGTAGCTGTTACAGATCCAGGCATTAGAAATACTACAGCCATTTCCATCCACTCTTTTGATGAACTGCTTAGGACTGCCTCTGACACACTGAGATTCTGCACACACATGCACACACACACTCTCCATGTTAAGAGCACTAAATTAACCCTTTAGAAATGCCATTTCCCACTTTGTCAGCACTGGCAGCCTACTAGCAGATGCAGAATATATTGCTACTTCTTCTGTGAGAAATGTATAGACTGATGGGGAAAATCATTAAAGTTGAAGCTAGGAAAGGCTAATTAGATAATCCAACCCTCCTCCCAGTGTATGTCAGTTTATATTAATAATGCAATACATTATTACGGCTATCCCTACTTTTTTAATGTCATCTTTATGAAGGAGAATTAGTTTCCTTACCTCAAATTCAGACGACCTCAGGAATTTGCTTTTTTAGAATTCAAGGCAGGTCAGTCAAAATGAATCTTTTCCACAGTCTTTGTATTCTCATGTCAGAGCCACAGCTCCATCTCATCAGGCCTCAAGTTTCAGGAGGAGCAGCAGCGGATTCCCCAAAGATGACCTTTTAGACCCTTTAAATGTGAGAAGCATACAATTAATAACATGCAAACTACTTCAAGGGGATATGTCAAGAAATTTCAGCCCTGCCACCTTTTCCTGTTGTAAAGGTTTGATATCCCTCTCTCAACAGGAGCAATGACCTTCACCATTTCTGTGCCTTCAGTTTGTGTCTATGAATTAAGACAGTATTAACAGAGGCTCTGGGGAGTTTCCAAGGCACATGGAGGTCTTCAGGTGAAAAGCCTGAGCTAGAACTGCTAATCTTTATTAGTGTTCTCTACAGTTTCTAATGTTTGGTTTCCTGCGTCATTGCAAAATGAGCCTTTTCTCTATCTTCTATCTCGGCCATTCAAGACCGACACCTCTTGGAGCAGTTCTTGGACTTGAACATTTAGCTACTGCCTGGAGAGAAGTCAATGATCTGAGAAAGCCTGAGGACTTCACTCACATTGCACATTGGCGTAAACAGGAACTAATTTTACTCAAGTCCAAGAAAACAGTAAAAGGATTCTTTTTTTTTAACTGAAGGGCTCATATAGTCATTTCTTCCCTCAGAGCTGTTACCTGCCTGCCTCCCAGTGGTGCTAGGGCTTGGGCAGCCCAGGTAATCTCAAGGAAGGCACTATCCCTCACCTTTCTCCCAGCAAAACCAGCCACAACACTGACAAACTCAACCTGTCCAGGTGTGGACACCTTCTTCCTAAACAAGGTTTCAAGTGTATTAATGTAGGGCTATGAAAATCTGGGAAAAAAAGTGACCTTTGTGGTTTCCTCCAAATAATGTCCCCAGATAAAATCCTTCAGCAAAAATACCTGTTCTTGAATAAAACATGCTACGTTAAAAGAAGCACAGTTATTCTTAAGTTGGCATTTTTTTTTTGTGCAGCCAGAGGGTTTAGCTGCCTCCTGGCTATAGCAAAGCCAAGATTTGTAAGGGGCAAGTCATCTGCTTTCTCTGTTGTCCGGCTGCAGAAAGCTGCCTGGAGGCCCTGGCAGGTCCTCGGCACAGCAAATAACAGCATCACTCTGGAAGGGATGGGCGATTAGGCTCCAGCCCCACGGGGTGATTGGCAGGATATGGCATAAATCCCATCAGCTCAAGCTGAGGCATTTAGATATTAGTGCTTAATGAGCTGTTTGGTTCCATTTAGTTTCATATTGCTTTTAAGTATTTCTGTGCGTTCAACCAAAGAAAATTGCAACAGCACAATTTATTAAATGAACTTCTCAAAGAATCTTAAAGCACAGGAATACCGTAGCAATGAGCACTGCAGCAATAATATTTGAGAATGTAAAGGAAACTTGTAAGTATTTCAATAGAATTTTCATTAGTGTGACTGCAGCACGAAAATTAATCAGTCATCTGTACGTTAGTTGAATTATCTTTATAAACAGTTCATTTGCAGACTGAGGAAAGCGGGATGCATACCATGAGATCCACGATGTGTAAAAGATCTGAAATATTTCCCGTCTGTTTTCCCACACTGTCTAACTTAAACCCAAGCTGCAAGTGCATTTGTGTATCATCGATAATACTGGCCATAAACGCAGCCTGTGTGTCTGCCTGGAATGAGATTACAGCAGAAATATGTATGAATGAAGGTGGAGCGGGGCCAGCACACAGTGCTCTGGCCGTGCTGCACTGGGAGCGAGCAGTTGGGGGGTCACCCCGGTGGGCAGCGCAGCCCCCAGCCCCTCACCTGCTCCCAGCAGCAGGATGGGGGAGAACCAGAAGGGTAAAAGCACCAAAACTGGTGGGGTGAGATAGAGGCACTTTAATAGGTAAAGCAAAGCTCCTTCTCTCCTCCCCACCACAGGAGCTCATCCCTCTAGGACAGCCAGGCTCCATCATGCCCAACGGTGGCTGAGGAGTGTCAAACCCTTCCCCCTGGTCCTATGGCTCCCCTCCCTGATCAAGAGTCCCCCCCCCCAGCTTTCCTGGAGCCCCTTTAGGGACTGGAAGGGGCTCTACAGTCTGTACTTGAGGAGCCTTAATTGGAGATGGACCTCAGTGATTACTCACCCGCTCCTTTTCTAAGAGCCATCGCTAAACAACCTCATAACAGCAGGTTTTGTCAACCCCAAGCATTTTGTGCACATAGAAATAAGCACTTTGTGAGTACGTATCACAGGGATATCTGGTGATAGCTGTCATAACAACCACTATAACCTACACACTTCTGTAAGTATATCCATAAGGCTGACAAAAGCCATCGAGATGTCTTGCTACTTTGGTTTAACATTACAAGAGAGTTCTGGCGTGGGATTGGAAATAAGAGTTACGAAAATCCATATACCAAAACACTCAGGGAAGCACTCACTGTGAGTCTTTCAAGGAGCTCAAAATGGCGCTTCACCCTTGGCTGTAAAGTCCACGTGGGACCCTCGGCCCAGCATCCTACCAGCCAGACACTCCAAGCACCAGGAACAAGGGAAGAAGAGGGAAGAAATGAAACAGAGGAGAAGATATGAAGGGATTAGCTAGAGGAGCACTGGGAGGAGTGTAGTGAGCAAAAGGGTGAGTAGGAGGAAAATAAATCTGAGATGTAGGCGGGTGAGAGGTACATAAAGCCATGAAGATGATACCAGATTACAAAGTCGTGAGTCAAACACTGAAGCATGAAACAAGTCTACAAAGGGTATCCCAGATTCTTCCAATTCACACAAAAACTTCTGCAAATAACACTCTCTGCCAGAGATATGTTACGCAAAATCAATATTCATCTCTGTGGGTTAAGTAATGTTTGAAGAGTGAGTCACACAGCTGATGTATGGATGTGAGCTTGAGTGGTTCCACGGGTTCAAAGTGTGCACAAAATATAATAAAGGAAAAGAGGGGGATTAAATATTGTGCAAAATGTAGAAACTGAAATTGTTTTGAGAAGTCTCACCCTGAAAAAGGAGGAATTCGTGTGGGTCATACTTACGTGCCAGATAGGTTGGATTTTTCAGGATCTTGGCACTGCCTCCCACTGCACTGCAGTCAGCTCTCCACAACACAAAGTTACTTTCCTCCAGCCTTGTTGTGACCCCTCAGTATTTGTGTACCTCGGAGCAGGGATGTCCTTCTCCTAAACGTGCCTGCAAAACAGGGGATAATAGAAATGATCTTGCTTTTAAAATGAGGGCCATGCATACAGACAGAGGCTGAGATGGCCAGGCAGGGCCAGGGGCATGGGGTGGGCCGAGGCCAGGCTGGGACAGCAGCCCACTGAAAAATGAGCCCTGCAACAAACAGAGCTAATTTAGGCTCTGGAGAGGAATCAGTTCGATCCACCCAACCACTGAATTACACTCATGGACATTTCTTTCTTCATCAACCACACAGGGGACTCACACACTTAACCTGGCAAACAAAAAACGGGCAAAAGCAGATTAAGTGTGAAACCTGTGATGTCTTCTCTTGACTTAAAACCTTATCTGCACGTACAATATTTTTTCTGTAAGTTTACACTCCTTTACAGCATCTCCTTAACTTTGTGGCCTCATGGACAGCAGTCAACTCAATTTGCTCCCTAGATCACCAAATACTCTTATCTGCTATTATTCTTCTTATGTCTGATGTTTATGTGTGCTGTTTGCCTCTCAGGAACCACGGCCCCACAGGCCACCGCTGCTGTCCAAGCCAGAGCTTTTCCCAATGCCATCCTGTATTAAATACAGCGTGGGGCTCCTCCAGCATTCCAAAGCTGCTCATCCTCTGTGCTGCTAAGAAAATCACTGAATTTTTTAGACAGATTTTGATACAGAAATTTGATTTCCTTTGTTAGGTGCTTTAGTGGGTATTTTGCTTCTCGTTCCAGAGTATTGCCTCCATAGAAATTGAAGCGATTTAAGATTTCAGTCCATATTTACATTTTCCCAATATCCTCCATCAGAGCTGCAGAGCCAGGGAGCAGTCATTAATAACTAAGCACTTTGACTGAGAGACTTTTGAAACTGGGATTAATTTTCCTAACCCGTACGTGGCCTCTTGTGTTGGCTGCTCGATCCTTGCCCTGACGATGTGCAGGCTCAAAGCAGCAGCATCATTAGCCGTATGGGCTGGGACTGCAGGCTTCTGGCTGGCTTCTGCCCCGTCCTTACCCTCTGGAGCTGCTGGCCCCATCCCTGCTGGCTCCAGACTGCATGTATGCAGCAGGGGAGATGTTTTATCCGTCCTGCAAGAGCAGAAATGCTGCACATTCTGGCAGGTATTCCTTCAGCGTTACTGCAGCACATCCACCGTTTCACCTGAAAATAAGACTGAGATTGTAATCAAGCCTACTAAAATAATAAACTATGTAAGTTTAAGAAAATACAGTGGCTGCAGTCAGGAGAAAGTGCATTTGGCAGCCGCAAAGCCTGTGGTAGCTGGAGCAGTGCTGGGGTGATGGCAGGGTGATGCTGCCAGGACTGGGGAAGGGTCAGGGAGGGCAGGAGCAGAGTGAAGGGCCAGGTCTGTGCCTGAGCAAGCACAGGAACAGGCTGCAAAGCCGCCAAACACCTTTGCTGTGGCTCCCCAGAAAGCCAGCAGAGGTGGCCGAAGCAGAGCTCACAAGGGCCGATTCCAAACAGGCCGCTTGGCTAACCCTAATCTCCTCCATCACACCTTGCCGAGGAGCTGTTGCACAGACAGCTCCTCCTCCTCCTCCTCCTCATAATCATTTGGGAATGGCCCTGAGACAAGTCAGGACTTTCTGCCCGATCTGTTCTTGGCAGAACAGCGAGGTGTTTCGTGCAGGGACTGCGCCGCCCAGCTCTCTGCTTCCAAACACAGAGTGGCAGCTGGGGCTCCCTCCATGAGCACACTCTGCTTGCTCAGGAGCAAACCAAAGCACAACTAGAAGGAGTCTTTTGACAGATAAAACATCTCCAGCCCTTTTCACTTATTCATGCTGCTCTAGGTATTTACGTTGCTTGCCTGGGACATAACATTTCCAGTGGAAATCTGGGGGAGATGAACTACCCTGAAAGCCTTGCAGGATTTTATGTAAATATTTTCAGGCTGGAATTGAACAGCCTTTTCTCCTCCACAGAGTCAATTAGTAAGTACAGGATAGTGAGGTGTAGTAAAGGATGATTCTAAAAGGAACATGGAATTACCACCTATTTGAGTTTAGTGATATAAGCAGTAAGGCTGATCGTGAAATTGTAAGCTGTGGAGAATGATAAACAAGCTTAGGCCAGATTTTATGGCTTTGCTAGGAGGAGCTGAACTTTAGCTTACTTGTGCAGCCACTCGGGATCCACCGACGTCCTGCCCACGTGCTGGTATGGTGTCACACAAAATCTGTAGGAGCCCCTTCAGCGCCTGGGTTCAGGGTACGGGTCTCTGTTCTGAACCCACTGCCAACCTGAGATAAAGCCTGTCTCTCTTTTCACCACCAAGGGCACAGACAAAAGCAAAAGCTGGGCACAGCCGCGACAACAAGCAGCAGTTCTGTGAAACAAGATGAAGTATTAAAAGCATTGTGTCCTGAGCTATTCAATCCCTGTTCTTGAGTCCAGTGAGCACTCCCCGTGGTGCAAATGTTAATGCACTAGAACCATAAACCCAGGAGAACTATGAGTGAAACTCCTCTGGTATTTTCAAAGACGAAACATTGTGTGCTGCAGGAGAGACAAGGTGTCAGCTCTGTTTGAAAAGGAGACTAGGGAGGTTTATGTTTCCGGATGAAATTCAGTCCTGACTGGCTAAACGTCATGTGGAGACTGTTCTCCTGGCGTTTCTGCATTCATCTCCATCTGGTGTGCTTGGAAGAAGAGCCAGAAGAATGCAGGGAGTGACACCTCTTCCTGCCAGAAGACCCTCCAGGTAGCAGATAATGCCAATGGCAGGACATGCTCTTCAGGGAGGGGATCACGTACCTCCTTGACTCAAACAACCTTCAGAAGAGCAAGCTCCTCCTCTGACACGGAAAGATCTGTAGATAAATCTTCACCAGCAGGGAAGACCTATAAATCCATTAGAAATACTGAGTCTTAAGCTGCCTAAGGGTCATCAGGTTTGCACTTGTGTACCAGAGAAAGATTTTTTCACTCGTCTGTTGTTTAAATTCTGAACAGTCTTTTCTGCTGACACTTACAGGGATCTGGCAGAGGGAAGCTGGGGACAGCACGTCTTAATCCACTGAAGCCAGGCTCTTCAGAGCTCCTCTGCTGAGACAACAATTCTGAGAGCATGATGGTTGCCATTTACATGCTGCCAAAAGAATAGAAAATAGTAAGAGACACATGAAATGTTTACGCCATTATTTCCTTACTGGTTATTTCCAGTGACTTGCAGCTCCAAGGCTTTCCAGCAGCATGCCGGGGTCTCCAGCTGGGCAGCATCCCTACAGCAGCAGAGCCTGAACTTTCCAGGAAAGAAACACAGGACCTGGGAGGACTCTGTGAGGCAAACACTATCTGCAGGAATGTCAATCAGCTCGAACCTAAGCGTCTCGATTACCTGAGGATACAGCATGAACACTACAGCGAACCCCATTCTCAGCCTCCCCAAGCAAGAGTCAGGAATAATTCTCCAGAGACGTGTTAAATTATTCTAGAATACGTCTTATAATGTGACATTTGTGTAAGCCTTTGCAGTTAATTTTCTTGCTGAGTGGGAGGAGGATTAGTAAAGAGAGAAAAAAGACATTAGTTAAGGTATTGAATTTTTGGTGTTGTCGAAACCTGAAGTATGCGTAGCTCTGTAGATGGCCATACCTCTTTACAGAGTCAACACGGATTTTTTTATTGTATACCTATGATTTTCTGTCTCATAAAGCTGGTCAGTCATATGAACTGTTTTTAAATGACATTAAATACAAATATTGTTTTTTAAAAATTAAAATATAGAAAACCCTGTAGTTTTACCCACCCATTGCAAGCAACTGAACAAAAGCTCTCCACCTTCAAAGCAAACAAATGGAGCCCTCCCATTTTCCAGAACCCCTCATCCTTCTTTACAATTGTGAATGAAAACAAGTTTTCTTGACATCATGTTGCACCAAGGCAATGGTAAGGTAGGTTTCTCCCTCCAGGAGCACCCCAATTGCGGGTGCAGCCCTGCTAGATGATGAGCTGAACACCAGAGACAGTCTGGTGTAGCTAAGCAGCAGCAATAGCTGAAATAATTAAAATAAATCCGCCTTTGAAGCAAGCTCAGTCAATAGATGCTAACTCACCATGCTTCTAATCATCCCATGCTTCCTCCTGTGAAACTTGGAATAAAAGGGTCTCTTTCCAAGACACTGTGTTTAAGCAAATCAACAAAGAGAAAAAGAGAACACATGCCCATGTGGGTGCACGCATATAATATAAATATATCATTGAATATTTTTTTGTGCAAATAGCAGCACTTTTGGAGAAGCTGCAAAAATTTAATGCAGATGTGTCTACATTAAAATTGCTGACATTTTTAGAGAACACAACACATAAAGCATAAATCACATTTACCAGAAGTCCAGCACTTTGGCATTTCTACTTTGCTTACTTTGGGAGTTTAATCAAATGAACGCTATCAACTCTAACATCATAAATCAGCCATTTTAAGAAGTAATGGGGGCTTAAAGTAATGAGTGAATGAATCTCTAGTTAGCTCATGTTTCTCTGCATATTAAGTCTTGAATTTACTCCAAATGCCTATCGGGAAAAAAAAAAGTCAAAGGGAGATACATTTTTACTGTGTAGACATCTGATAATAATGAATTCTCATTTATTAAAGCACTAAATATGTGATTCTCTCTGCTTTGCAGTTCAAGAGCACCCTGAAAAATTCCAGTGTTCAGAGACAACACAAAAATGAGCCAGCTGTGGAAGATGCCATGCTGCACCACTGTGTACAAAGGTTCCAATACCATCTCCAACCCATATGAAAATGCTGACGAGCCCAGATGTGACAGTCCAAGTTCTCCTACTTCTAAGGGGTGGGCTAAGGATTACAACAGCGAGCAGAGCACCCCAAGTCCCAACTGCTGTTAGCACAGCTGATTGGCAAGTACAACCTCTCCCTCCCCTCAACAGGTCTTAAACTCATCTTTCCCACGGCTCAGGGAACCTAACGTGAGCTCTGCTGGGTGACTTCTTCTCTGGAATACTTTCCCCTTAGATTCAGGCTTCAAGCCATGTCTATAGGGAACAGCATTTTAAGCTCCATGAAGCACCTTTCTGTAGAGACATGGTACACAGAAAGAGGACAAAGACCCAAATAATTTCCTTTCACTGTGCATGAAGTTTAGTCGATCACGTCAGTACTTCCTGTCCTGTTATACATTAGCAAAGACTGAACAGATTTTTTGACTAGTTAAATGGATGCAAACTTGCCACAACTGCTTGAAATAATCTGAAGGCATGCTCTCCACAGGCTAATTGCTAACCAGCACAAAACACAGTGCCCACTGCCCTGCTGACTCTCCTTCTATGTACACGTGTTAAAGTTATGCACACAGCACAGTACCCACAAAAAATGATACACAGCCTGCAAAAGAACCACAGAAGCTACAAGACAGGAAAAGAAGGATGCCATGGCCAGTTTTTTAGAAAGACTATATGTGGCCGCTGTATTGTAAAGCCTCTAAAATATATATATATAGCCATGGCTGCTGATACAAGCCCACTCACTAAATGTTACATAAAATGACTCTGGAGAGGTTGCTAAAAGCAGTAACTTCCCTTAAAAACAAACAAACTGACTCACTTTCACATGGCATGTCTTTGGTAAAACGGCGAGGTGCTGCTATGTCCTGGATAAACACCGTCACTCCGAGAGACACCTGCATCCCCAGCCCCGGGGCAGAACCACGTGGGCGATGCCGCCCTCGGTACCACTGACCCGGGTGGTCTCGGGCACAGCGGGGCTTCCTTACCCCTTGCCCAGCTCGCCTCTCCAGGGAGCTCCTGCTAGCAATCTCAGTGATGATGTGATTTATCACACAGAGCTGGATGCGCTCCTTACAAACTCTTCTTGAAACAGAAACAAATCCACATACCCTACTATTGCTTTCACGTCTGAGACCTGGGGTAGCCTGTCCAGACACGCCAGGCTGCGCGGCAAGAGAGCAATTGTAGGGGACGAGCCCATGACATAATCATCCATTAAGAGCATCTGGATGCGTAGCCTGCAGCCACAATCATTTGTCCTTGCTATTCTTCTACTTTATTCTCCGTAATCGCATTCAATGCCTGCCACAGTGCGCGGCAGCATTTAAGTCACTAAAATTACTTTACTAGAACATATCTCTT